ATCCAAGGCTGTGGGTTTTGATGAAATTAGTAAGCAAATGGTGTCTATGATTCTTGAGTACCTTATTCCAGCTATAACACATTATAAATTATTCTCTGGACTCAGGTCAATACCCTTCTGCATGGAAAAAGGCTTTTGTAAGACCTCTTCCTAAAATACCTAATCCTGTTTTACCTAACCATTTTCGTCCTATTTCAATTCTCCCATACCTCTCTAAAGTTTTGGAAGCCTGTGTTTTTAAGCAAATATCTGTATTCGCTGCAAAACATAACCTGCTGAATGAATTTCAATCGGGGTTTCGCTCAGGTCACAGTACTACCACTTCGCTTATCAAAGTCACAGACGATATAAGAAAGGGCTTAGATGAGCAAAAATTAACAGTGGTGGTGCTTATTGACTTTTCAAACGCTTTCAACACAGTGGATCATGGTTTCCTCCTATCCATCCTTAAACATCTTAAATTTTCATCCCCAGCCTTGGAATGGTTTTCTTCTTATATTCGCGGTCGCCAGCAATCGGTTCGCTCAGGTCAGCGGTTTTCTGCATGGGCTGAAATTGAATCTGGTGTGCCGCAAGGCGGAATACTTTCTCCTATTATGTTTTCCTTATTTATAAATTCTATCTCCTCAGTTTTAGATTGTTCGTACCATCTGTATACGGATGATCTCCAGCTTTATGTACAGTCAAGCTTAAATAATCTTAACTTTGTAATACACAAACTAAATGATAACCTGGAAGCCATAAGAGAATGGTCATGTAAATATGGCGTTTCTGTTAATTCTGCCAAATGCAAAGTTATCATATTCGGAAGTTCGCAATTATTGGCTAAGGTTGATTATGGAAATCTCTCTCCTGTAATTTATAATGGAATTTTGATTCCATATTGTGATTCCATAAAAAATCTTGGCCTGTACATGGATAAAACTATGACCTGGAAATTGCAGATCTCTGAAGTTAGTTGTAAAGTTGTTGCTACCTTGCGTTCCCTTTATCGTCTTAAAAATTTCCTACCTTTCAAAACCAAACTTACGCTGGTTCATTCCCTTATTCTACCTATTATCGACTGTGCCGATGTATGTTACCCAGATCTATCAGAAAATCTTCTAAACAAGTTGGAGCGCCTTCTTAATAATTCCATAAGATTTATTTTTGGTTTACGTAAGTATGACCACATATCATCTTATCGTTCAAAGCTTAAATGGCTACCTATACGTCAAAGGCGATGCTCTAGAATTTTACTTGTACTTTATTCAATTTTAAACGATCCAAGGTCGCCCTCTTATCTTAAGGATAATTTTCATTTTCTTCATCCGATCGACGGTCGAACATCCCGACAGTCAAACCGTCTGAGGTTAAGGTTTCCACAGCATAAGTCAAATTTTTTTAGGTCGTCTTTTACGATACAAGCTATACAACTTTGGAACACCCTCCCCAACGATATTAAGAATGCCGCAAATAAAAAAGTCTTCAAAGTTCTTCTCCGAGAACATTACCTGAAGGAAACTACTAATTAACATTATTTTCCTTAATTTTTGTCTTTATTTCTTCTTTTTTACTTCAGATATTTATTTCATTATATAATATTCAAACATCATATTATATATATCATTCATTTGTATATTTATTTACGAAGTTTATAAGCATGTATATATATATATATATATATATATATATATATATATATATATATATATATATATATATATATATATATGTATTATTGTATGTATATTTATGCTATATGTGTATATATACTTAAATGTAATGTGTATGTATGTACTTTGCATATATGTATATTTTAATGTATGTATATATTTTAATGTAATTATTTACATATAATGGTCGCACCTGCCAACAATTGTCCTTGGCACCCAGGGTTGACTGGCAGAGAATGCCACATGGCATTAAGTCCGCCCTATGTACCCCTTTAACTTAAGGTGTTACGTTTAAGTTTTTAAATAAATAAATAAATAAAAGTTTATATATTAAATACGATGGAAAAACCTGATATCCAATAAAGAAGTGATCACATCGAAGCTCTGCAAGTAGAACCGTGACTAGCAAAGCACGATACACGTCTTGGTCTATATTTTGCACATTTCAGAAACTGCGCTCCTAAATTAATAACTAGATCTCCATTTATTATACCGATATATGCATATGTATAACAATATTATGTTCTAAATCGCACTCTATTTTGTCTACGATTTTCATAATCTGACTAAAGGGAGTCTGAGTAAAGAGCTATGCTATCATCGCCTGGAGCGGATCTTAATGCACTTCTATACCTAACGCCCCTTGATCTTTATCCAAACAAGGAGGTGAAGGCTAGTTTGTATAGGATTAACGCCCAGGGCTGTTTGAGCTTGCTATCTTACTACCGTATCGAAATACCGATCTTATGCATGATCTCGAATATTGTGCGTCCACTATACACTTTTAATAAAAAGTATAAAGAGGAACTACCCTCCAAAGAAGACTGGCTGAATAGCCAGATTATCTGTGAGGTCGATAGCCTCATATGGTATACTGATGGGTCAAAAATGGCCTCGACGTAGGCTTTGGAATTTATGAGGAACAATTCAAACTTATTAAGAATTTTGGTAGATTCGCCTCTATCTTCCAGTCAAAAATTTTCGCCATACTTCAGTGTGCAGAAATCAATGTACTGCGCCATAAACTACTACTACTACGACATAGAGCTTAGGAGTGACCTATAGCTATAGCAGTGATCACAATAGACCTTTTAGGTAACAGTGATACTGGTCTCTTACCCTAGACCAGGATAGCTACTCGCACATAATTAAGAAAAGGAAGACTGAATTGTATAAAAATTTTCAAAAATAACTCTTGTAGTAAATCTTCATGTGTAATTCAACCTCACAATTTAAAAGTCACTTATATTATATGCGTCTATGGAAAAATATTCACTAAAGTTATCACTTTATCCTTATTTTGTCAACTTAAATTACTCATTAAGAACAGAACGATCATATACGTCAAGTGTTCTTTGTGACGTGCTCCTTAGAGTAATCCTATACCTTTAAACGAGCAATTCTTGTATACATATATAATCGGAATCTCGGAAACGGCTCCAACGATTTTCATAAAATTTTGTGTCCAGTGAGTTTCGGGGGCAATAAATCGATCTAGCTAGGATTTATTTTTAGAAAATGTCTTTTTGTCCGTGTTTTTAGACAATAAAAACTGCTACAATATCGTTAGAATAAGAAGGTAAATTTTGACAGCTTATTAAAGATTATAAATAGCTTAATTGGTATATTGGGCGGTCACAAAATCGTACCTGTTTGGAGTCCAGACCGACCGACCGACGTTTTTTAATTTTTTTTTTCAAGTTCCTTTCTTTTTTGAAACAATCTATTTTTTCGAGCCCTTTTATTAGTATTTTTTAAAAACACGAAAATTTAAATTAAATTAATTGCACTCATGATTTTTTATTCAAATAACCAATTCAGTTTTTTCTATTATGTCGCTAAGATCAAAAAATATTCGTATTTCATCAGTATGTAATTTGTATCTAAATATAATTTTCAAAAACACACGAATTAAAAAAAACCGAGCGAAAAATACCGAGCAAAGCTCGGTCAACCAGGTACTTACTACATACGTATGCATAGAGAGAATACCTCCTACAATTCAATGTAAATTGAGTCAATAAATATACTTGTCTCGCTTTTTCTTATTTAATTTTGGAATTAGGCCAATATAGACAAATCTATTGAAATATGTTGCGTATAATTCAAGCGTGGAAATAGAAATGTCAAGTGGTATGCCATGCCAAATATGAGAGTAAGTACACATATTATGTTCTGATTTACCAAAACAATGAAATCTCTATTGTAGTAGTATTATGTGTGACGTTACAAGACATTGCTTCTTTAATCTATAGTGATTTCGTTCGCAATGTTAGCAACAATCGACATCGATATACTCGTTTTATTTGGTTATTTATTTTTATTACTTTATATGTTTAAAATATTTAAAAATAATAGGATTATACTTATTATTATTTGAACAGTCAAGTAAATTGTTATCTAAATCAAGTGATGATGATTATTATGTTACATTTTAAATATTCCTTTCGCAAACTTTAAAAACTATTCATTTGGGAGGTATCAATACTAAGTTTTGACAGACACACGGTACATGATGGAGTTGGATCCCATTTGTATTCCCAATTTTATATAATTTACTAACGATCCGCCCTGGATTTGCACGACTGTTTCCTAGGTCTCGACAACAATGCCATTTACTGGGTCCAATTTTAAGTGTGAATATAGGACTAGATATTTTACCACTTAATTATTACCTGTGTAAAAAAGTACACGCCTGTTTATTGTAGCTAGATTACTCAATTATTAGACCGAAAATTTATTGATACGGTAAAACAAGAATAATAAGAAAACTAACTACTGTAATTCTGATTTCTGATGCTTAATATATACTATTACATATACTTTCAAAACATGAAATAAGGACCTCCCAAACACCTGCCAATCAAGTTGTCCTTCATACACAGTTCACGTCAAACCAACAACAACATTTCCTGCTGTTCAACAATTTGTTCATTACCCACTGTCATATGTTATACTACATGTATGTATATAGATCAGCGTGTATTTTCCATATACTATTTGTTTCTTATTGTGTAAATTATTCATACTTAAGTTTTGCTTGTAAATGTACCAATATCTAATATTAAAATATAGAAGGTTTGGAACCATCTAATCCGGGTTTACATAGTACAGGTCTAGAGCACAGATAGTGTTATTTAATATCTACTCCTTATAAATATTTCTTTTTACATTGGGACGTCAATCACCTCAGTCCTAGTGAACATGCGTGCTGCAAAGCACCCGCAACGTCAGGATTTACAAAATAGGTAGTATTAAATGCGATAAAATCCGTAAAAGTAGTTATAATCAATGCCTGGTGTTCGCGTAAATATAAGAAAGCATTATCAAACTGCCAAAATGTACCTTGGTGTTTGTTGGTATCCTCAAGGTTTTTGCAGCTGTAGGCAATGGCATAGTTCTTGTAGTCGGTATCCAGCACAATCAAGTAGGAATTCTTTGATTTACCTGCAAAAGTGTAATAGTGTAAACTTCAGATATTTTTAATGAAAAAGTAACACATTTGGTCCTGCCTTTAGTGATAATTTAGTGTGTGTTATTAACTTAAAAAAATAAAAATTTCATAATTTACGCGTGCTGTGCAGACTCATTATTAGAAGTTGTGAATAAATTATTAGCGTCAGAATCAGCTATATTTAGCAATTCATCAATTATAATTCTAAAAATATAATATGATTCACTGTTAATAACAACTTACCTCCAAAAGTGTAAGTGAGCATCAGTTTTCCAGGCTCAACAAGAGAGAGGTCACCATCGATGTATGACTTGACGCCGTCAATAACCTGGGTGTTTCTAACCTTGCCTTTGTCTCCATCAACGGTGTAACTAGCGGTGGTGCACTTGCCTCTAGCGCCTTCCTCACCGACGTTAGGAAATCGGGCGATTTCGTACCATAGCCCTTGATACTAGTTGTTAAAAATATTTTTTAATTAAATAGAGTCGTGTTAACTCAGGAGCTGAGCGCTCGCTGTAAATTTTCCCTCCCTAAAAATCCCCGCCGGCACCAATGAAATTGTTAATTACAATTTATCTTCTGATTTAGCACGTGCTCGGCGGTGAAGAAAAACTTTGTGAGGCAATTTGCACATCTATATATTGTATGTCTAAGAGAAAAATCTCAGACATGTGAAGTTCGCAAACATGCACTGGGACAGCGCGACGGATATTTTTTTATCCTAAAACCCTTATAGAAATTAGAAGAGGCCTGTACCTGCAGTGGGACGTATATAGGCTGTAACTTTAAATTTATTTTAATAAAAAATAAAAATATAAATTTCTTTGCAACTTTCCGCTAAACATATAAAATGATGTGTCTTACCTGGATTGAAGCGCACCTCCCGTCCTCCCTCAATTGCATACACTAACTCCGTCACCATTAGACCAAGCACCACTACTCTCAACACCACTATTCCAGGCAAGACGCACCATCGACGATAATACGACACGTGTTTCGTCTCTACACGAGGCATCCTCAGGTAATATAGACTCTACGGCGGCTGACCGCTAAGACTTCTTACGCATACGTATGTAGTAAGTACCTGGTTGACCGAGCTTTACTCGGTATTTTTCGCTCGGTTTTTTTTTAATTCGTGTGTTTTTGAAAATTATATTTAGATACAAATTACATACTGATGAAATACGAATATTTTTTGATCTTAGCGACATAATAGAAAAAACTGAATTGGTTATTTGAATAAAAAATCATGAGTGCAATTAATTTAATTTAAATTTTCGTGTTTTTAAAAAATACTAATAAAAGGGCTCGAAAAATAGATTGTTTCAAAAAAAGAAAGGGACTTGAAAAAAAATTAAAAAACGTCGGTCGGTCGGTCTGGACTCCAACCAGGTACGATTTTGTGACCGCCAAATATACCAAATAAGCTATTTATAATTTTTAATAAGCTGTCAAAATTTACCTTCTTATTCTAACGATATTGTAGCAGTTTTTATTGTCTAAAAACACGGACAAAAAGACATTTTCTAAAAATAAATCCTAGCTAGATCGATTTATTGCCCCCGAAACTCACTGGACACAAAATTTTATGAAAATCGTTGGAGCCGTTTCCGAGATTCCGATTATATATATATATATATATATATATATATATATATATATATATATATATATATATATATATATATATATATATATATATATATATATATATATATATATACAAGAATTGCTCGTTTAAAGGTATAGGATTACTCTAATGAGCACGTCACAAAGAACACTTGACGTATATGATCGTTCTGTTCTTAATGAGTAATTTAAGTTGACCGCTAAGACTTCTTAGCGGTCAGCCGCCGTAGAGTCTATATTACCTGAGGATGCCTCGTGTAGAGGCGAAACACGTGTCGTATTATCGTCGATGGTGTGTCTTGCCTGGAATAGTGGTGTTGAGAGTAGTGGTGCTTGGTCTAGTGGTGACGGAGTTAGTGTATGCAATGGAGGGAGGACGGGAGGTGCGCTTCAATCCAGGTAAGACACATCATTTTATATGTTTAGCGGAAAGTTGCAAAGAAATTTATATTTTTATTTTTTATTATAATGGATTTCCGCAAAGTAACGCCTGATTCTATAAAATTTATGTTAATTTAATTTAAAACAATATTATAGTGGTTTTGCTGTCGAGCACAAACGAAAATCTCATATCCGAGCCAAGTATGACGATTATGGTAAATTCGGGAGAATGAATATAGAAGAGTGATATCCAATGGCTCTCCAATCGATAAAGGTGACTACGACTGATGATAATATTATAATTATTGTAAATGACGGCTTCGGTGGTCTAGTAGTGTTTAACATGATTGTTGATCATGTGGCTCCCAGTTTAAATTTGGGTTCAAACTAAAATCTTACATTGGGTTTTTCTGTAAAGGAATTCTCAATATACTTTCAGCCTGGAGGCCATTACATGATTTTACATGATACCAAATAACTTACAGTTTTGAAACTAAAATTTTCCATAGGCCTCACTTCAGGACAAGGTCCATCGTATAAAACTTCAGCAGACGCACCCACAAAGAAAGCTACCATAAAAAATCGTAGCATATTTACAGCTGAATCAATGAATATTCTATGATATAGTAAACGAAATAGATGTTTCAAGGATTTATCTTACCCTTTTATACTGATCATGAGTCAAAGGGCAATTGAAAATCATATTTACCACGTGTTTAATATTAATGAATGCTTAAATTGTTGCTAGACTAGAGAAATCTAGTAACTACCAGATGAATTATTTTGTGCATAATTAAGCAATTTAACTATCACAATGTGACAATAGCAGTGCGATCACACTTTTCCAAGCTTGTTGGTATAACATCGATGGTAGCTTTTTAAATAAACTATTAATGTTAAGAAAACGGCGGACTTATGGGGAATTTCCGGTAAAATTCAACACCTGTTTTTTAATATAACATAAAATCTGGTATATTTCCTGATTTAATGAAAGTCAAAAAGTCAAACCGATGTTAGTAGATCAGATGTTGAGTTTTTTTTTATATATAAATTCTGGGGGACGAGGCTGTTCGTGTTCGTAAGAAATACTAGAAATCTGACTCCCTACATCTGTCTCCGGGTGGTGCTAAACAAGCAGTACCAATTCCAGTGGAAGGTTTTGGCCGCTAGCTTTTTGGTTACCACCCACCGATGCAAAGTCCAAAATGGTCAAATGACTTTGTCGTGTTCCGACATAATGCTCGTAACAGAAACAGAAACGTTTTTTATTCAATATAGATTATAAACAATACTTATTGAAAGTAATTTTTTTATTTACCACTGGTTCGTAAAAATACCTCTGTCCTGGGAAGAACCAGCAAGAAACACAGCGGGATTATTTTTTTTTCAAATAATAGCTTACAATCATGTTTACAATTAACAACACATGACAAATTAGAAATAGCTTGGTAGCGATCACCCTTCTCAGGGGTTATTATCTGAGTCGGATGCTTGGTTGTGGAGGGTAGCTACTGAAACAAAATCTCTACGAGCACTACACCCAGTAATACTGCTTGCTTTGTTTCTTACGTATGAGGTTAACCATCTGTGCAAATCACCTAGAATTCAGTTGGTATTAATTTTCAGATTACGGGACTAATATGTATAAAAATAGTTTCTCAAAAACCTTTCCAAATGTGTTTAAAATGGAGATTGGGCGGTAGTGCTCAATTCTAGTTTTTGGTCCACTCTTGTGTACTATATTTTTAATATCTTACGTAGGAAATATTCCACAGGTGTTAACGAACATAATGAAAATTATTAAGAGATGATTGACCAAGTGTTTTGCACATTTATTTATAAATAAGGGAGGTATGCGACCATTACCAGACCCTGGTTTTGAGTGTATTTAGGATACGAAAATCATTATTAGGTATAAAGTATATAATATGTAATTTATAATTTAATTCGACATTTGGAATACGGGAATAATCGTAAGAAGAAAGTTTATGAAAAACAATCAAAAATTTTTGTCGACCCCGCACATATGTTCGTTTCATTAGTATATGATTCGTTTCCCAACAGTAATGCATTAGGGTAAGTATATTTGCTATTACATATAGATTTTAAATAACACCGTTATATTTTAGAATATTTTGTTAAAAGACTTTCCATTTTTACTGAGTAACGCTCGTGGCACTGTTTCTGTAACTTCTTTTATCTGTTACAATTTTTTTTAATTTTTTTTCCAATCTTTAGGCTTTAAGGACTTTTCTCGAATAATATGTTTTAGTGATTTTGAATACCAAACGGGGTAATTAGATGAACGAGATAAACAAGTAGGTACATATTTATCAATTATTAGGTTTAGTTGAGAATAAAAAGTTTGAACTACGACATCTATTCACTTGCCAATTAACAAAAAAGATCAGTTGACTTCTGAGAGGGTTTTATTTATTTTATCACAATCAGCTAAATAAAAGTTAAATTTTGATCGTGGATTACTTTTAAGCAGGGTATATATTAGCAGATCAGATGCATTGAGCAATATAGAAGGGTGATATTTATTATTTATCTTCAGGTACAAGATATGTTTGAGATCGGGTAACAACAATGTTTATGTTACTAAACACTAAGTCTAGTACATTGACGCTATGGCTGCTAACAAGATTATGTTGATTTAGTTCTGCTAAGTTGAATAATTAACTAACTTTATTAAAGCATTTTGTAATTCAATTGGACCTTACTTGAGCATGACGGAACCTGAAAGGGACCCAGATATATTCGATAGATTGAAGTCACCGGCAAGTAAAAAGTGTTCATTTGGACATTGAGAAATAATTTTTGTGAGTATTTCTGTAAAACCATCTAAACGCTTTGATTGATAATTATCGGTGGATATATATATATATATATATATATATAAATCCAATGTCTTGAGAACTTAAATATTTTCCTGGTTCTTTTAACCACAAACATTCAAGATCTCTATGCATCCATTTCGTCCAGTAATGAGTATTATTTTAAAGTTACTGCTAATTATACACTCTCGAAATTATCTAGTTAAAGTTCGCAAGCCACGGACGTTTTGATAGAATATATACATTGAGTTACAAATTATAAAACACCTTTTGCGTGGTTAAGTTACCATTGTATTGTAAAACTTTTAAAAATTACATTTATCGTAGTAATTAATAGTAATGTAGATAATTATTATATTATGTGACAGAAGTAATACAAGCTAAAGAGCCGTGAGGGATGGTTAAGTAACAGGCAGGAATGTTATTTTTATACAAAGTAAGAAATGGTATTTTATATATTTTTTTTTTAGGTTTTGGTGTAAATATTCTGTAGTCCTGAAGTTTTTAAAAGATATGTAAGATTTTGATGTATGTAATAGTGGCCGTGTAAATCGTGAGTGTTGTTTTATAAGTTTTATATGTAGCTATTAATATTACAACATTGCATGATGATACTATAAAAATTAATCCAGGTATACAATTTTAGTAAATCTTTTTTGGAAATTATGATGATAGCAGGAGACTGCTAGTCTTTTCTTTGAAACATGTGGTATTTTGTCACCCAGACAAACTTATATGATTTGATCATTGCTCGAGATTTTGCCATCTTCAAGAGTTGCTTATTTTCAGGGATGAAGTGTTACTTAACAAAAAACTTTTTAACTGGACCACCTTGTCCAATATCGGAAGTAGTAATTCGTTTGATTATGCGCAACCCTGAAATAATATTACCTTTAATAGTGCGATCTGAAATTTAACTACAAAGTTTATGGGTAACCTGCAATATTCTGCATAGGCTCAACTCGGTGCACAAAAACAATTTGAATATCCATAAGCTTTACTCCTGCATGGCTAGCTATTTTGATTGTTAATTTTTTTTGAGTTTTCTGGTAGACGGACAAACTCTAAGTTCTACGCCTACCCCATTGTTGCTCTTTTTCATTTGAGCACATAAATCTGCTAGTTTCATTTCGCCATTATCATTTTGATGAAGTTTTTCAATATTTTAATTTCGAGATTTTTGTATTAATGTAGCAAACTGTTATGCGATTCTTCCAGTTGTTTAAGGTTACTAGTAATTTTTTTTTATTTCAGTGATAAGTGATAATTTCAACTCTTAAATTATATCGAATTTTATAGCACTGACGTTTTTGTCTAAAAGTAATTCTATGATTTTAATTAATTCCAAATTTTATGGTTGGCAACTACATGGTTGTTGGTCGGAGCTTTTACTTGAAGGTCTATTCGTAGTTTTATGTTTTATGGAGTATTACTGTTAACACGGTATTATGTTGTTACGGCAACAGATGTCGCTAGGCAGCCATAAGACTCGAATATCATTTATTGTACTGAAGTTAAGTGGATATGAGCGTCACAATAAAAATAATTAAAACAATCCTGGAGATAAACTTAATATACAACGCTGATGCAAGCTATCTTTTAACCTAACCATACTTATGATAATAAATAAAGAATTTTATTACAAAGTAATTCCACTATATTATTCTCCCAGTATTATATGCATTCTACGTTTGTGCATTTGGGTCATGGTAAAAGCATTCTGTTAGAATACGCTTAGGAACAGAATCTTCTATCCTTGAAATCAAGGTTAGTCCCAATATAAATATTAGCTATAAAACAGCAGTGTCCAATCGGATCTATTACTAAAAAACGCTGTTTGTTCTTACTATCAAGATGAAACTAAATCATTAAATACCTAGATTAAAGCTTTAGAATTATTTAAAACTGGTGTTTTAGACAATAGCTTAAGAAACTTTTCATGGTGAAGGATTTCAAAAGTCAATCACGCCAGTCTTTTACCAATTCTACAAAATGACTCGAGTCCAAATTGTGTTCTATTTAACTCATCTCGCGCGAATTTGTCAAGCGGTCAAATCTAAAATAATTAACTTTCGATTTCTACACGTCCTGGGTCCTAAAACATTTCCAAACATGATTTTTCATCTGATTATATTATATGGGAAGCGTATTAAAGAGAAAAATGTATACGTTTTTAAGCTAGGCTATTGGCATCTATTGGCACCTACTATCTAATAAGATTCAATCAATTTTAAATAATAGAGACAAAAAATTACGTCTAGTTGTTATTATAACTGTAATGCGCTCCATTCAATTCATGTTACATTAATTAACATTTATTTACATAACCCTCTGCACATAAATGCAAATGTTATCGATGCAGACAGATTGTTGCTTACAATTTATATAATTTAAAACAACAGTGATGATAACATTTATTTGATCTTCGATGTTTGACTTATGAAAACATGAATCAAAATAGGAATCCTAAAAGTCATTGTCGATAAGTGTTTTACTTATACCACTTTAACTATGTTTTATGCAATAGATACTAATTATTTTTATATTCTGGTAATTTTCGTTCTCATTAACCATAACCACGTCAAAACGTAAACATTTTAAAGCACCCCAGTTATGGACATAATCTAATACTTAGGTATTTATATTGTCAGAACTTATCATATATAAGAACTTATCATAGGTATGTATCAAATGCATAAAGTTAGTTATAAACACTGCATTTACTGATCTTTGAGAAGTTAAGAATTTTTT